TTGCAGGCGACGAGTCACAATAACGTGGCTGAAGTATGCTGACCAGACCACACACTAGAAGGTGAAGGGACGACGATGTTTCGGTCCGTCCTGGACCATTCTCAAGTCGATTGTCTAGTCAAAAGTCAAGTCAAGCCAAAATCAATTTCCCGTATTGTTAGGGACAGGTGGAGGTCTATTAGGGGAATCGAGGTAACCTTATCCACCCCCTTAGGGGCAACAACTCACCCTCCCCTAAGATGCAACCCCGAAACAGTAGCCTAAGTCCGGCGTACCTGATACTGTTAGGTTAAGAGAGGTCTCAGGTGAGAGGAAACTGTACCCAAACGCTTCTGTCTCCTTGCCGAGGGAGTGGAGCCTGAGGCCTGTCGTTTGTGATCGGGGCGCGCTGACCACTGCGCTAAATGACCCCTGAACCTGTCACTCACTCGTGCGGTCACAAACAATGCCCTGAAGCACCTTCCTGTAGTGTGACCCTAATTGCCCCTTAGCAACATCCTGTGACAATCAATGTTCTGCGACTCATTTAGCTGTGACAATCAATGCCAATCAAGCCAATCAATAGGGCTGTTCATTACCTGGACCAATCACCAGCCAGGAGCTCCCTACGGGACTTCCCACTCCAGGAGCCAGATTCACAAAGCAGTTACGCAAGTACTTACGAACGTGTACATCTTTGCTCAATCTTTGGCGTCTTTACAATTATTAAACAGTTAATGAGCCCCGAAGCACCAGGAGGCTGTTTATATCAATAACAACAGTTGATTCGCAAGTTTTCATGCTTGTAAACTGTTTAATAAATGTAACCAAAGCCGTCAAAGATTGAGGAAAGATGTACACGTTCGTAAGTACTTGCGTAACTGCTTCGTGAATCTGGGTCCAGGTCTCACCTGACGGAGCAGCGTGCCGGGGTTGATATAGAAGGCGTCATCATTGCCTTGCAGGTACTCGCTCGACAGGTGACTCTGAAGCCGCCCGCCGTAGAAGTCTAGGTGGCCTGGGTGCTGTAGGGACGCCTCTGCTGTCTGCTTCGCCTGCTGCTGCTGCGTCTGCTGCGACGCCTGCATTTGGTGGTCTGTGGGGGAGACAGAGAGAGAAGAGGTGCTGTGATGATGTTTTTTTGAATGGGGTGTTTAGGGTTTGGCTTCTGTATTCAGTTTTACTTGTAACGTCATGTTGGGGCATGCGGATTCCACCACATGGGGACTCCACCACATGGGGACTATACCACATGGGGACTCCACCACATGGGGACTCCACCACATGGGGACTCTACCATATGGGGATTCCAGCACATGGGGACTCCACCACATGGGGACTCCACCACATGGGGACTCCACCACATGGGGACTCCACCACATGGGGACTCCACCACATGGGGACTCCACCACATGGGGACTCCACCACATGGGGACTCCACCACATGGGGACTCCACCACATGGGGACTCCACCACATGGGGACTCCACCATATGGGGACTCCACCACATGGGACTCCACCACATGGGGACTCCACCACATGGAGACTCCACCACATGGGGACTCCACCACATGGGGACTCCACCACATGGAGACTCCACCACATGGGGACTCCACCACATGGAGACTCCACCACATGTGAACTCCACCACATGGGGACTCCACCACATGGAGACTCCACCACATGGGGACTCCACCACATGGGAAATCCACCACATGCAAATTGTTAATGTTTTCAATTTATAACTAAGTAGTTTTGTCACTATCAATTTGGTTTTGAGAAATATTAATACAGTAAAATCTATTTTCACCTCGACCTCCTCCTTCAACAGGCAGTGGTTACTTTCTCCATTGCTGGGAAGTGTAATAACATTTTAATTGATCAGACAGGAAAAAAGTCTTCCCATTTGTCCCGTTCTCAGTATAAATACTGGACTAGAACTGACCAACAAGCTAATGCTTGCAATTGCAACAATCTAATGATTGCCGTTAATTAGGTCACCGATGCCATCAACTGGGCCTCATCGAAATGGGTCCCGGGACATCAATCAGGATGTCAATACACGAACAGAGAGATGTAAAACCAGTGATGTCAAGAGGACGAAATTCACCGAGGATATCATCAGGGCACAACAAGTAAATTGTAATCACTTGTACCTAAGAGTTAATACTCGATATTTGTAATCTTAGAAATACTTAAAATTGCAACATTTCACAAGATGTTGAAATTTCTCGCGACGTCCAGTGTGAGTGGCCTTTAAGTAGTGCACCTGCAATACTAAATAAGAAATTTGTTTATTTATAAATTTGTAGAATTAAAGTTAAACGCAGAACGCCATTGGGACGTGGTGGTGGTGGTGGTGGAACACAATAGAACCATTGGGAGGTTCTTTGGAGGCGAATAAAGGAGACTTGGAGGGCGAGGCGAGGAAGGAAAACAAGCCCATCGTCTTGGGTGATGAGGTGATGGGGTGTAGCGGTGATGGGGAGTAGTGGTGATGGTGTGTAGCGGTGATGGGGTGTAGTGGTGATGGTGTGTAGTGGTGATGGTGTGTAGTGGTGATGGGGGTGTAGCGGTGATGGGGTGTAGTGGTGATGGTGTGTAGTGGTGATGGGGGTGTAGCGGTGATGGGGAGTAGTGGTGATGGGGTGTAGCGGTGATGGGGAGTAGTGGTGATGGTGTGTAGTGGTGATGGGGTGTAGCGGTGATGGTGTGTAGTGGTGATGGGGTGTAGCGGTGATGGTGTGTAGTGGTGATGGTGTGTAGTGGTGATGGGGGTGTAGCGGTGATGGTGTGTAGTGGTGATGGGGTGTAGTGGTGATGGGGTGTAGTGGTGATGGGGGTGTAGCGGTGATGGGGAGTAGTGGTGATGGTGTGTAGCGGTGATGGGGAGTAGTGGTGATGGTGTGTAGTGGTGATGGGGGTGTAGCGGTGATGGGGAGTAGTGGTGATGGGGTGTAGCGGTGTTGGGGTGTAGTGGTGATGGGGAGTAGTGGTGATGGTGTGTAGTGTTGATGGGGGTGTAGCGGTGATGGGGTGTAGTGGTGACGGGGGTGTAGTGGTGATGGGGGTGTAGCGGTGATGGGGTGTAGCGGTGATGGGGAGTAGTGGTGATGGTGTGTAGTGGTGATGGGGGTGTAGTGGTGACGGGGGTGTAGTGGTGACGGTGTGTAGTGGTGATGGGGGTGTAGCGGTGATGGGGTGTAGTGGTGACGGTGTGTAGTGGTGATGGGGGTGTAGTGGTGATGGGGAGTAGTGGTGACGGTGTGTAGTGGTGATGGGGGTGTAGCGGTGATGGGGAGTAGTGGTGACGGGGGGGTGTGTAGTGGTGATGGGGAGTAGTGGTGATGGTGTGTAGTGGTGATGGGGGTGTAGCGGTGATGGGGTGTAGTGGTGACGGTGTGTAGTGGTGATGGGGGTGTAGCGGTGATGGGGAGTAGTGGTGACGGGGGTGTAGTGGTGATGGTGTGTAGTGGTGATGGGGGTGTAGTGGTGATGGGGTGTAGTGGTGATGGTGTGTAGTGGTGATGGGGGTGTAGCGGTGATGGGGGTGTAGCGGTGATGGGGAGTAGTGGTGATGGTGTGTAGTGGTGATGGGGGTGTAGCGGTGATGGGGTGTAGTGGTGATGGGGTGTAGTGGTGAAGGGGGTGTAGTGGTGATGGGGGTGTAGCGGTGATGGGGAGTAGTGGTGATGGTGTGTAGTGGTGATGGGGGTGTAGCGGTGATGGGGGTGTAGCGGTGATGGGGGTGTAGCGGTGATGGGGTGTAGTGGTGATGGTGTGTAGCGGTGATGGGGTGTAGCGGTGATGGTGTGTAGTGGTGATGGGGTGTAGCGGTGATGGGGTGTAGTGGTGACGGGGGTGTAGTGGTGATGGGGGTGTAGCGGTGATGGGGTGTAGTGGTGATGGTGTGTAGCGGTGATGGGGTGTAGCGGTGATGGTGTGTAGTGGTGATGGTGTGTAGCGGTGATGGTGTGTAGCGGTGATGGTGTGTAGTGGTGATGGTGTGTAGCGGTGATGGGGTGTAGCGGTGATGGGGTGTAGCGGTGATGGTGTGTAGTGGTGATGGGGTGTAGCGGTGATGGTGTGTAGCGGTGATGGTGTGTAGCGGTCATGGGTGTAGCGGTGATGGGGTGAAGCAGTGATGGGGTGTAGCGGTGATGGGGGTGTAGCGGTGATGGGGGTGTAGCGGTGATGGGGTGTAGTGGTGATGGTGTGTAGCGGTGATGGGGTGTAGCGGTGATGGGGTGTAGCGGTGATGGTGGTGTAGCGGTGATGGGGTGTAGCGGTGATGGTGGTGTAGCGGTGATGGGGGTGTAGCGGTGATGGGGGTGTAGCGGTGATGGTGTGTAGCGGTGATGGGGTGTAGCGGTGATGGGGTGTAGCGGTGATGGGGGTGAAGTGGTGATGGTGTGTAGCGGTGATGGGGTGTAGCGGTGATGGGGGTGTAGCGGTGATGGGATGTACCGGTGATAGGGGTGTAGCGGTGATGGGGTGTAGCGGTGATGGTGTGTAGCGGTGATGGTGGTGTAGCGGTGATGGGGGTGTAGCGGTGATGGGGGTGTAGCGGTGATGGGGGTGTAGCGGTGATGGGGTGTAGCGGTGATGGGGGTGTAGCGGTGATGGGGGTGTAGCGGTGATGGGGTGTAGCGGTGATGGGGTGTAGCGGTGATGGGGTGTAGCGGTGATGGGATGTAGCGGTGATGGGGGTGTAGCGGTGATGGGATGTACCGGTGATAGGGGTGTAGCGGTGATGGGGTGTAGCGGTGATGGGGGTGTAGCGGTGATGGGATGTACCGGTGATAGGGGTGTAGCGGTGATGGGGTGTAGCGGTGATGGGGGTGTAGCGGTGATGGGGGTGTAGCGGTGATGGGGGGTGTAGAGGTGATGGGGTGTAGAGGTGATGGGGGTGTAGCGGTGATGGGGGTGTAGTGGTGATGGGGGTGTAGCGGTGATGGGGTGTGTAGCGGTGATGGGGGTGTAGAGGTGATGGGGGTGTAGCGGTGATGGGGTGTAGCGGTGATGGGGGTGTAGCGGTGATGGGGGTGTAGCGGTGATGGGGGTGTAGCGGTGATGGGGGTGTAGAGGTGATGGGGGTGTAGCGGTGATGGGGTGTAGCGGTGATGGGGGTGTAGCGGTGATGGGGGTGTAGCGGTGATGGGGGTGTAGCGGTGATGGGGTGTAGCGGTGATGGGGTGTAGCGGTGATGGGGGTGTAGCGGTGATGCGGTGTAGTGGTGATGGTGTGTAGCGGTGATGGGGTGTAGCGGTGATGGGATGTAGCGGTGATGGGGGGTGTAGCGGTGATGGGGGTGTAGCGGTGATGGGGGTGTAGCGGTGATGTGTGTAGCGGTGATGGGGGTGTAGTGGTGATGGGGTGTAGCGGTGATGGGGAGTAGCGGTGATGGGGGTGTAGCGGTGATGGGGGTGTAGCGGTGATGGGGTGTAGCGGTGACGGGGGTGTAGCGGTGATGGGGTGTAGCGGTGATGGGATGTAGTGGTGATGGGGGTGTAGCGGTGATGTGTGTAGCGGTGATGGGGGTGTAGCGGTGATGGGGTGTAGCGGTGATGGTGTGTAGCGGTGATGGTGGTGTAGCGGTGATGGGGGTGTAGCGGTGATGGTGGTGTAGCGGTGATGGTGTGTAGCGGTGATGGGGTGTAGCGGTGATGGGGTGTAGCGGTGATGGGGGGTGTAGCGGTGATGGGGGTGTAGCGGTGATGGGGTGTAGCGGTGATGGTGGTGTAGCGGTGATGGGGTGTAGCGGTGATGGGGGTGTAGCGGTGATGGGGGTGTAGCGGTGATGGTGGTGTAGCGGTGATGGGGTGTAGCGGTGATGGGGGTGTAGCGGTGATGGGGGTGTAGCGGTGATGGTGGTGTAGCGGTGATGGTGTGTAGCGGTGATGGTGGTGTAGCGGTGATGGTGGTGTAGCGGTGATGGGAGTGTAGCCCAACACCCGTGTGTTAAGGCACTGGGTGTAGAACACCCAACACCTTAGTGGCAAAGGGAGGGAGGAAGATGAACAAGATCATTGTACCAGAACACTTAAGAGCTGGAACAAGCAAGAACACAGACAAGAACAAACAAATGCACCAACTCACCACCATTGACGGGGATGACGTCAGGGTTGTGGTCGTCGGGGTCGTCCTGGTGACCAGACGTCTCCTTGTACACCATCTTGACCTCCGGGTCACGACGGCGACGTGACCTCCTCACCAGCACCAAGATGACGGCGGCCATCACCAGGAGGGACGCCCCCACCCCCAACACCACCGCCAGCAGGGACGTCAACGCCAGGGTGCTCCCCACTGCAGACAACAAAAAACAAATCGACTGAAATCATAAAAATCTACGCATCTGTTGTTAAAGATTCGCTACCTGGAACAGAGCTCCAAGTAGCACGGGCTATGGTGAGCCCGTAACCACGCATCTTCTTAAGAAACCAATGCATCTTTCCTCAATCATGGATACTTAAGTCTGTATTCACTAAGTCTTAGGAGCTTCAAAGTGTTCTAAGGTCGTTCCCGTCCAAGTGGTTGGGGCACCATTCCTTTCCCTTCGTCCCATCCCAAATCCTTATCCTGACCCCTTCCCAGTGCTATATAGTTGTAATGGCTTGGCGCTTTCCCCCTGATACTTCCCCTTCCCTTCCTGTTATTGTTAGTGAAGACTGACTTATTAAAACGATACATTCAGACGTTCCACAACTCACCTGGGCTGGTGTGCTTCTCAGCCACGTCCTTGAGAGTGAATATGGCCAGCCTGACCGCCTCACTCAAGCCCTTCTTGTTGACGCCTGTGATGGTAAGGACATACTCCGTACCGGGTTCGAGCCCCATCAGGGAGAACTCCGGGCGCGGGGAGGTGGAGGTGTTGGCCAGGACCCGGGGGGCGGCCTTCTTGCTCTGGTGGGGGCGTGTGTGGGCGCGAGCGTGGCTGACGGAGAGGGTGAAGGTCTGTGCCAGTCCGCCATCCCAGCCCGCCTGGCACCGCACGCCCACGCCCGTTGAGCTAATGTTCTCCACGGTGCAGTTGTTGACTGGGTCAGGGGGAGCTGTGAGGGGGCAGCAGGTGTTAAGGGCACAGGTGTTTGAGGAAATATCTGTGCTTTAAACTAAGTATCAAGTACATTAACCCTTAGACTGCGCCAAACGGTATATGACGTTTCTTGCTTCACTCGACATAAACATGCTCTGCATCATATGACATTTTTCATTATAGAAATGAGAAGTGAATTGTGCTTTTAATTCCCCATAATTGCCAAGATCTCACATATATCTGGCTCTTATTTCCCAATAATATGATATAGTAATGATATATTTTTCCAGTAATATGATATATGTGATTATTATATATTCTGAATCATTAAATAGAAGAATTTAGGAGAATATGACACCATCGTGTCGAGAAATGCTTATTCAGCTCATTGTGTATGACACCATTTTGAGTATTTTTATATCATGTTAAATATGCATAAAATGATTAACCTTTTTCCTATAAACTCTTTAATTTTCTGTAACTTT